ATGAGGCGGGCTATATTTGGGGGAGCAACTACTCCTCAGCTGCTTGGATATGCTGACCAAATGCTCTACATTAATGATCATGGGAGTTGACAGGAACCAAGCATATTCTCGCGTAGAAAACCCGTCGACAAGCCAAGTTCCCGTCTCCAGACCCAAACATTACGGGCCGTAGAGCGAGGGAGCGGTGAACTGGTAGAATTTGGCTTCCAAGGCCCAAATGGCCATGTCTGGTAGTTGGCAAACGCACTGACTTTGCCGGGACTTTGCATGAAATCAAGATAGCTCAACTCAGCTTGCCGGATAGAAGGGCTGGGCGCTGGCCATGGAAGACTGGGATATCGAGGCCCACCACTCACCTACTTGTTGGTCCTAGCGATGCCATGCGATATCCCGTCTTCTCGTCAAACCAACACCTTGCCAATCAAAGGCTATCGTCAGGGTGTGCCATGAATGGCCTTGCACAGCGGGCCAGACGGCTAGTTGCATATGTGTTGCTGGCGAGCAAGGGTGTGGGCAGACACTATCGGAGGAGGTGCGCCGAGTGAGCATGGGCACTGCTTAATCCCAGATGTGCTTATACATCTCCAGGTTGTATATGGAAAGTATCTTGACCTCACAGATGAACCGGTGGGTCTCTTATACAAGGGAAGGGGGCTGATTTACCTCATTCTTGGACTTGATAGGTACAATTATACTGACTAATTTGAAGTCAGAACAATGGCTTTCTATAATCAGAGCCATCGCCTGCCGCAGTATTGCGGCCAAGCTGCAAGCGATGGACTCAAAGCATTTGTTTGGTCCGGATGGCGAATCCCATGGCCGCATTCACGCATGGGGATGCAACTCGTTCGGCTTCTTGCTTTGGAATTCAAAGATGGCCTCGTCAGCAATGCCAACACTTGATCTTGACTCCCACACCCCAAGGTGTCGTTTATTTGAGGTGCCCAATGCTGTCAGGTACCGTACACGGATCCAAGTTAGTACGGGTGTGGTGACTTAACCCCGAGGATTCACCTCAAGTTGAAAAGGCCAAAGGTTCCTCAAGATTTCGAAGTGCCCATTTGTCGTTGTCTCAGGCTCTGCACAACCTTCTCCTCTTCACATATTTTCCAGCCAACTCTTCGAGCTTTGCTCTCCAGGATTTCCAGATATTCACATGGAAAGATTGGTTTCTTCATAAGCTCTATTCTGTTTGTGGTACTGATATTCGCCCTCGCCTTCTTGCATCCCGCCCAGGCATCTTCGGCATCGTTCTGTGCGATCCTCCAAAAAGCCACCAATACTCTGTCGCAGACGTAGTATATAGTCTGCTACCATCCAAGATCCAGTGCTCTCACAAGCTTGTGGCATATCAAAACTCCGTGCCCTCATCGCCAGACCGCTCGCCCTTCGGATCGTCTTTGCCCATCCTTCGCGCAACCTGTTGGGCTGCTGGTTCATACGTCGCACCAATATCGAGTGTCAACGCCCTACCGAACAGTCGTTTTAGATCCATCATACACCTTCTGATAGTCGCCGCAATTCTTTCACTTGGGAGCACAATTCACTAGACGGTCGAGAAGAAAGCCAGTAAGTGTACTGACCCCCCTGTTGTCAAATGTTGGGGGCTGGTGACCGTGGACATTTCCAATTGTTCAAATCACACTCTTGCTGGGCTCTGACAAATATAGACAGAAAACTCGTAGGGATCTTACAACGCCTTGGCCGGACTGTTGGAGCAAAATTGACACTGAATCAGGCAGCTCAAGCCCACACAGAAGGTATGATGGTGTGAACCACGCCGGCATGGCAGTTTCTTTGCTAATCACATCCACAGGGAGTGAAACAGCGCCGACGAGACGTGTATGTAAGTCCGTCTGCCCTTGAAAAGCCTCGAATCTTAGGTTCAATATCGAGACGAGGCATCAACAAGAATTCAGCGTCTTTGGAACTGGGCCATCAGCAATCTGCAGCCACCGATACCGGCTCGACCAAGACCATCATTCCGGTTGACATGCCAAATCGATCAAGACGAATCGACACGAGTCCGAATTAGCGACTAATTCATTATAGACACGCTTCACAGGAAAAAGGAAAAAAAAGAAGATCGTCGCAAGAGCAGAGGAAAGGCCTCGGTGCGAAACCGCCCCCAGTGTAAGTAATAGTTGGACAGGGGTCACACACGTAGGCCAAGGCCTAACCGCCAACGCTCTTCGCTGTATGGAATACCCCGGACCTCTACCTATTGGTGAATCTGCCCACGGGTGCCTGCAACAACGGCAGCGGGAAGGAAATTAAGCGACGCAAGTCGATGAATTTGCTCTCGTGCGCGGGCTCAGCTACTCTTGTGAATGCAGACTAACACGGGTTGCCTGGCATGGCGTGCATAGATTCAAAACAAGCAAGCAGAGCCTTGCGTTCTGCGGTCCCGGGTCGATCTGCAGCCAGGGAGGTTCTAATATCTGCACGATATACCCTGTCAGAACACACGCGACGAGGTTGTCGCTAGGCAGTAGCGTATGAATTCTCAATTTCCCAAGGTATTTATCAGTTCCAATGCCCTTGTTCTGCCCCTTCCCTCTCCTGCCCTCTTTTCGCCCTGGAAGCACCACCGATGCCTTCATCGTCACTGCGGCGGCGAACTCAGCGATGGTTGAATGGCAGACATGCAATTCTAGGGGGCCATTTCCGAGAAATTGAAAGAAAGAGCCTAAGCCCCCAATTTCCTCCGCCAAGTCCTGCGGTCCCAGCCATGTAGCATCATCTGCAGCTGTCCTTTGAACTTGATCGAAGTGTGGAATAGCAGCCTGCCGCCGGTCGGTCAGTCGAGGTGGCTGCTTTGCTTTTTCAAACGCTCTCGGTATGTATGTTTTCTTTTTATTCCTCTCCATAAATGGACCCGAGACCTACAGGCCCTATTCGTTGGCTGTCCACTCTCACTTCGAGTCCTCCGCGAATCGCGCCTCCGTCTGACTGATTGATCGCTCTGAGCCCGTCCATCCTTCTCCCACAATTTCCCCTCCCTTCTTAAACCCCCCTCAGCCTTCCGCCTGCATCGAGAGCTGCGGGTACAACATATTTTCAGGTGCTTTGTCAAGTTCGATCCCCTGCCGTCAACCAGGCAACGCAACACGCGCATGCAAGGAATGCCCTGGGTGACGATGAATCTGCCCTCTTATCTGTAGTTGGACCTGATCTGGGGTGCTCAGAGACACGGCATGCAGCCGAAGCCACCCTTCAGGTACTCTGTGCAACCATCCAGAATACCCCGGTAGCCGCAGGAAAAGGTGGCGCTCTTGTTCCGACTGGCCTGGTGCACTGTTCGAGGTCATGGTTGGTGACTGGTACTTTCTTGCGTGTCTCGAGTATCATCTGGTACTGCGTGCGACCTGGCCCGGTACTATTTGTCTTCTCACTCCATTCGCCTGCAGCACTGCTGAAGTCAGCGCCCGCTGTGCTGATTGCGAACCTCTCTGCCCCGTACCCTCTTTGTGTAATATGATCCCGGAGTTGCTATTTAGTGTGATTGGGGCCGGACACAAATCATGGATACTGACTGACACTTTTGACAGGATCGTCATGGCGTAGCTGTTATACGATTACATGCAGGCTATATTCAATGCGCGCGCCGCCGAGCAAACCCAGCCATCTCGTCCTGACCCCGAAAGACAGCGTCTGCTTTGGAAGACATTCTCGAGATCATGCCTATGCCCCTCATTGCCTACTCATTCGCTTTTTGTTCTATGTCTTGAACAGCGTGTATCAAACTAACTAGATTACCATCAGCCGGACTACACCTCTCCGGGTCCTGGCCCAGGCGCCGGACTTGGCTCTGGTCCTGGGATTGACGGCTGCTTTGACATTCAGACCCAACCTGGGGATATAAGGTGAGAGATTCCTCTCCGGTTGGCGATCCATCCCCCCTTTCTCCCCATCCCATGCTGGACACCACCAGAATGCCTATCTCCACAACCTGCACACAACCGGTGGTCGCTCGTCTTTGGGTCTGGTGCTCCCACAGAATCGGCGCCCATTCAGACGAGCTTCCGCTGAGCCACCACTGAGAACTTCATCGGCTAGCGGCCTCCCAGCCCAATCGCCCATTTAGTACTGTAAGGCCTCAACCATGCGCCTCAATGACGGGCCGAGGGTCACGGAGACGGGCAGCTGGTTTTGACCTTCAGAGGAGGCTTCTCATTTCCCCATACACACACCCCCTCTCTTCCACTCCCACCTACTTCCCTTGCCCACGCCAAGTTAGGAGTTTCGGGACAATGAAGCCTTCCTGTTCGACGCACGTTTTGTTGTGCGACCACCAACTGGGCAGTAAACCTTGAAACTTGGTGGTACTTGACGCTTGTGTATCATACCGGCGCGGTACAGCGTTGACTTGTGAAAACGCATTCGCTTCCTCTCTGCCCTGCGTCTCTTCTCTTCTCTTTCTCCCACTGATTTAAAGATAGGTATAACCAGGAACCTACTACGACTACTCTCTCTCTTGATCAGCCCCACCAACAGCCACCACCACCATCTCTCTTGAACCTGTACCATCCACCAGTTATAGACACAACACCGCAATACCACCCAGACGGCGCGAGCTATTATCCTCCACCAAACCCTCACGTCTTTACTGGAGGCTTAGACGTTCGGCCTCGGCTACCGACCAAGTGAGTTTATCCATTCCTTCACCTCAAGGCCCCAAGCAAGCTTGCTCCTTCTTGCGCGCTCAGCAAGGCCGCTATTTACTGCATATTTCAGAGCAAAGACTCACCACAATCAGTACGGGACCCTCGATGGGAATAGCTCATACCCCTCGCACTGCATCGTTACCACACCCAGGGGGGCAACCAGGAACTCAAATCAGTGCCCGAGACCAATACTCCCAACCAACCCCGTCCTTCAGGAGACAATCCGAACACGCCTCGTGCCGGTCTCCGCCCTTCTCGACATCTGGATATCGCCGCATTCCAATTTCACCCAGCCCCAGTCTTTCAGCCGGGTTTCCTGGCTCATCTGGTAGGATGGACTCCAGCCAGTACGGGCATTCTTCATCTCAGAACAAGATTCCTCCTCTCGAAGACGTTCAGACCCTTGGTACCTTTCATTACCAGGATCAAAATCGCACACCAGCCAAGATCGGTGTCAATGGCATCATTGACAAGGGCTTTTTCCAGGCTGATGGCGAGTGGACTTGTTATCGAAGGAACTACTTCTCATGTGTCTGTTCGTTTACTATAACCCCTTATTTTCCCGGCGTCCCCGTCAGCTTCACTCCATCAGGCTCAAACAGCCAGCCATCAGTCATCCATGGCTTTGCCATGTGCATCTCCGCCGTTGTCTCCGAAAACGACCAGCACTCCATCGAGCTCGTTCAGCATACCCCTAAACGAGACAAGGGTCCTACGAAGAACCCCCCTAAGATTCCACTGATGGCAAAACAGGATACGGGAGCAGGCCACAATCACATTGGACTATTCGGTGCTAATAACAATGTGGGCCATGGAGGAAATTCATGTTCTTACCCCGACGGCTGGGTCATCTCTGATACCAATGTCAATACACCGCAAACGGAGTATACCTTTGAGCGGATCCAGTTCAAGCAGGCCACCCAGAATAATGGTAAACGAAGAGCTGCTCAGCAGTATTATCACCTCATTATCGAACTCTGGGCGAATACAGCCCCCCCGGGAACCAACAAGGAACATTGGCTCAAAATTGCCTACCGCAAGTCTGCTAAGATGATTGTCAGGGGGCGCTCTCCTGGACACTACCAGAACGACCGCCGGGGCAGCTCCAGCAACGGGCCATCTGGCAGCGGAGCCGGCATGGGCAATAACTATCCTCACATAGGCGGCTCAGGAGAGTACGGCAGTGCCAGCTCAATGCTTAGCAACTACACAGGCTACAGCAACGCCACAGGAACGGTGTATGGAAGCCATCGTCATCACCACGGTCTGCCGGCCGAGACAATGATGGCTCCCGAGGAGGAAAAGGCCGTCGAGAGTACAAAGGCTTACCAGTACTACCCTGGTGCCCTCTACGAAAGCCATGGTGATCAGATGTTTAATCATCATAGCGGAACCGATGCCATGGCGACCCATGTGACAACTGATATGTCGAGCAAGGTCAAACATGAATATGACAGCTCCAGTAGCGCGCTGCCCCGCCTTACTCATCCGACAACCGACCATAGAAGGTGTGGGCCTTTTGATGGCAAGCCTACGTCGAACGGATACTATCCCCATGTCATCTCTCCAACTGGCATGAGTATTACTATGACCTAGTAGGGTGAGAACGAGAGACACCGGCTCACCTTATCTGAGCTCATTGACTTCTCGAATGTCTACTAGAAGCCAGTGAACTATCGTATATCGTATCGTATGGGATATCCTATTCATTTATTCGTTCGCAACCTGTGTCTCAGAGGAAGGTCGGTATCCTTCACGGCCCTGACGAATTGAAGTCTTTCGCAAGGCATGTGGGTTGGGAGAAGAGGAACGGCGTATAGAATATCAAGAAGGCATCGCGCCATTTACCCTGGCTAAGAAATTCGGACACGGCATTGACGAATTAACGAAACGGAAGACCAAGGGTGTCCATGGATTGATTTAGGGGACCTTCTTGTCTCTTCCACGGGGATGATACAGGGTTCATGATTTCTGTTGTTGATTTCTCACCTTCCTTTGCTGATTTCCTCTATCTGCATTTCTTTGCTTGTTTCTGCTCTTTGCGCACCTCCTTGGTTTTAAGCTCCCTCGTCGTTGCTATTGTTGTGGCAGCGAAGTTTGATTTGGAGGAATATAAATTTCTTTGCCGGATAGCATTAACGAAGACTTCATCTGTTCGCTTTTGTATTTTTCCTTCCTTTAGCACATTCGTTTCTCAGCATACATGCCCAGTTATGCTTGGTTTCTGGATGGGAAGCTTCAAGAACAGCTATGAGCAACGACATACTCGGATACATTGTTTGGTCAGCCGTCAGCTGGGGACAATTTTGGGAATTTGGGTTAGGAGAACAAAAGTACGGCTAAGGACAGGCGTTTAGGCAGGCGAAGGGAACATGAGATGAATTGACGGAACCCTGGTGGCATAAGTGGAAACCTGTCATGTCAGTAGGTAGTTTTTTTTCTTTGCGTTGCGCTCAATTTTGTTTCTGTTTTCTTCCATTTCCTCCTTTTCCTTTTCCCAGTCTCCGCTCGCTCCTTTTTCCTTTCTTATTTCATTTAGTCAACCCAGGAAGAAAAGACCAAAAAAAAAAGACCAAAAAAAAGCACAGGGTATTATAGCTAAATGACCAAAGTGCCGTGAATTAAGCATCAGCCGGACTGCCCGGGCGTGAAATGAAACCCCCGACGCTGGAAGGATGACCCCTCGCCGAGTGATGGCTGCCACCAAATTCTGATGAGGTGCAGGCGGCACAGAAACGAGACAAACTTGCTCTTGCCCTGAACTACTACGTAAGAGATTTGACCGGGGTGTCGTGAAGCAGGCACATGCCAACCAAGGCTCTCAGTTTGTTCGGCTCTACGGTTTTCATGAGATCGTCCGAGGCGCCTTCTACGTCCTATCTCCTCAACCAGCTACGATTGCTACGCTGTCCCGTGTTTTCAAGTCACCGCCGCAGGCAGGAGCATGGCGTTGCCCGGTAGAAATACGATTGACGCATATGTGTTTGGAGCTCGCCAGCCATTTAGAAGGGGAGGGGGCAATGGCAGAGTATGATGAAGGGGAACGTCAACTGGCTGGGGAAAGAGCCGTCTTAGCGATAGCACCTAACCAAATGGGACTAGAACGGACCCTCGTGAATAGTGTCGAGAGTGAAGCATAAGTGATCTATCACTTCTGCATACACACATTACGGCGTAATCGTACCCGGGGTATTACGTGCATGATGCGGACCCGCCAGGGTACGAGGCAAGGTTAGTCCGATAGAGTTTGGCTCTCATTGGGGGTCAGATGGTCGGAGGGCAGCGGGGGAGGGCATATACGAAAGACGGAGATGAGAGTGCGGCGGAATAATAGAGCCGTTCGCAAGTGATGGGGATTTTGTTGGGAGGAGGGCCTGGAACCTTTGAGCTCGAGCTCGCGTGGACGGCTGAGCATGGACCCCTCGGGGACAGGACAGCAGCCTAGAAGACGTCACATATGGGCCAGATCAGCATGTAGAGATGAATTAGATCGGCTTTAAATCCACCCACGGTACCTGGCAGAATGTCGAGTCTCACAACAGGTGAGCCCTTGTCGAGCCCAGGTGCTGGGTATACTATGATGATATTGGGAACGGCCTGGGGGCATCGGTTGCTGGCTCGGCACATGGCAGTAGCTGTTGATCTCCCTTTCACATGCGCCCGGGAAATTGGCTGACGAACTTTCACCTATCCACCCCATCCAACTCATCCGCCTGCATGTCACGACGTGGTCGTTGTCTTGTCCTGGCTTGTAGCATCATGTACTCCCAAGTACGACCCAAGTCCCCTCCCCTCCCCGCGTCATGGTGGCATTTTCGGACTCGCACCCAGCTTGGCTGCTTATACATAACCCCCCTCCTCCCACCGGTCATGTCGAGGGCACAGCAAGGCGCGGCGGCTAGAGTGGTGGTTGGGTCGAGGATCAGGATTCAGGTGCGATTGTCAACAAAGAGGACCACACCGGTGATCGACAATGCAGCTGCTGCACTCCCCCAACTGCACTTTTCCGTGCAGTATTCCACCAACGATATGGGTCGCTGGCCCCCGGGTCACTGGTAAACAGACCACGCCCCCTTGGCTCTGCGGTCAATCAAGTTTATTTTCTTTCCTCGGGGCGGCCTAGACCGGTCCTTCGTCCAGGAAGGGCACAGGCCAAGCCGTGCATGAAGAACGGCATCAAGATAGGGCAGTTCGGCGAACATGAGTCGTCATATACAGGTCAGCACTTCCTGCGCCCAACTCGGCTCAGCCCAACCCAGGCTCACAACGAGGGCCGTGGTGTAAGCTGGGAAAAAGCCACGCAGCCTTGCCGGAATATGGTTACCACACATCAGGAGTTCGACGTCGGGGGAGGGTTGCAGAAGGGACGATTCATATTATTCACCGCTGGTCGCGTGCCAACTTGTGAGACACACCGAGCCTTTCGAGCTAGATGAAGGATGGGTCACGATCCCCGTGATGCGATGATGGCCTCCTATCCAATGCGGAGGCAGAGCAGCACAGATCTTCCCTTCCCTCTCACTCACTTTTCTCTCATCCTCTAGCATCTCTCAGATCCTCCAGATGGCGTCTGACATCCTAGCAACCATCCCCATTTCCGAGACGTCGTGTACGCGCACGACGTCGGCGCCACCTTGCACAGCCGCCGCTACTGTAGCCGCCGTTCCCCAAACTCGTTCGGCCGGCCTCTCCACTCCGGTGATTCGACCCACGAATCGCTTGCGGCTGGAGCCCACAAGCCAAGGGAATCCTTGCAGGCCAGGCCAGTGCCTGAGCTCCTCGAGGCTCCGCAGGAGCTCCAGGTTCTGGTCCTCGGTCTTAGCGAACCCGATGCCCGGGTCAAGGATGATGCGCCACCGACGGATGCCTGCAGCCTCGGCGGCTGATACTCGTGCGAGAAGTTCCGAAGCCACGGTAGGGATCAGGCCCTCGGGGTACGAGGTGAGCTTGGACATTGTCTGTGGCGTTCCGCGCATGTGCATGAGGCAGATCGATTTACCCAGACGGGCTACGGTGGGCAGCATGTCGGGGTCCAGAAGCCCGGCTGAAACGTCGTTGATGATGTCAGCGCCGCGGTCGATGGCCTGGCTTGCCACCGACGCTCGGTATGTATCGACGCTGATGACGATATCGCGTGCTTCGGGGATGGAGCGTATGAGATCGATTGTGGGGAGGACACGGGCTGCTTCCTCCTCGGACGATACCTGCTCCGTGCCGGGAGCGGTAGACTGCCCACCAATGTCGATGATGGAGGCTCCCTTATGCACATAGTCCAAGATGGTACTGGTCAGATTCGCAGGGTCGTGAAGGCCGCCATCAGAGAATGAGTCTGGTGTCAGATTCAAGATGCCCATAATCTGCGTTTTTCTTGTGTGCACGAGAGGCGTCAGGTTTGATGATGAGGACCGCAAAGGCGTGACAGACGAAAGGGGCGCGGCAGGAGGAAGATCGTTCAGGTAGTCCTGGACCAGTCTCCATGGCTTTGAAGGATCTATAGACTTGGATGGTGCCAGTCTAGGATTCCCCAAGGTCAGCCTCTGCAACTTAGGAAACGAAGGGGCTCGCCGTGAGGGTTCCAGATGAACTCACTCTGCAAGTGGTCGCAGCACAAATTCCCTCTCAGGAATGCCAATGTGCGGGACACTGAGCCTCTCATTATGCACCTTCTCGTCGCCGTAGAGGAGGATATCTAGGTCGATGTTTCTTGGTCCTTTGTCTATTACCTTGACCCTCCCCATCTCCCGCTCAATGGCTTGCAATGCGTCAAGGAGAGCAAGCGGCTCGAGCTCGGTCTCGACCTAAACATGCCATGACATATCAGCTCGCGGGCTCAAATTCACCAGACATGAGGGTGGTTGGCAATGCACCTACCTCACAAGCACCATTCATGAAGAGATCTTGATCCTTGACATACATAGGCTCGGTCTCCCAGAGGCTGCTTGTCCGCTTCACCTTGATCCCTCGCTCATCCATCATCCGGCAAGCGCGCTCAATCTCTGCGACACGGTCCCCCAAATTACTCCCCAGCGCAATGTAAGCGGTCCTCTTGCGGTTTATAGGGCGGCAACCACATCCTGAATGAGCCCGGGTCTGTCCGTATATCGAGTGCGTCGTACTTTGGCGCGGTTTGCGCGCATGACGAGCCGGTGCTGCCGTGGGGTTTGCATGGGCGCACAGAGGAATTGGGGATCTTTTGACGGCGGGACCGCATGCGGAATGAGGCAGGCGGTTCCTCAAGCTGCTAAAGAGTCGGTTGGAACGCATCGTGAGCTGGACAGGCGGGCCAGGTGCTTACAAACCGAGGACGATGGTTGGTATATCCAGAGGCAGGAGCTCGATTGAGGTTGCCGTGATGTCGCTATCGAGGAATTTTTGCCGCGATAAGCTCCAAGCCCAGGCGCTTGGCAGCGGGGGCTGTCAGTCCCTAAGGGCCCAGGCTCCGTCACCCGTAGCCCCTACGGCTGGCTCTAGGTTCGGGCTAAGGCCATGCGCACGGGCGGCCGTCACTGTAGGTAAGAATGAATCTTAGAATAACGGCGTCAGAGTTAGAATCAGTCAGATGGCCACGATTCATTCAGCACTAAAGTCAGTTTAGTAGTAGATTTGCGCGTGCCTTAGTAGACTCTATCTGTCCCACGTGCTTTTTTTTTCCTCCAAAGGGACGTCGGCAATCGAAGGCAGATATCACATCTCCGTCTCGGACTGCTACCTTGGACCTCCGGGGAAGCCTCAAGGCGCCGTCTCGATTTGGCAATACTTCCGTGATCCCCAGCAGTCGCAGAACCGCGCAATGCGACGGCGAGAAAAAGCAAAAGCATGGGGAAGGTTCGCGCATGAGATCGCATCACCAGCAGCACAGCAACAGTCAATGGGGTATGGCGCTGCCTCGGCATCTTCCCCAGATCGCCCCTGATGAGAACACTGGCCCCTAACGGCCAATGGGGGATGCCCCTGTTCAGCCGGGCGCAGTCGCCTGACTGATGCTGGGCTGTCCGCCAATTATAGCGCCTCCCGCACCGCCGCCATCCCCACCATCAACAGCTGCCTCGGCATGTGCTAATCGATTCAGTCGCTGCCAGGCGCAAATCGAGCCGACCCCAAACCCATTTATACGATCCTCCTACGTCGGTCTCCTCCGTCCAGCTGACTCCTGAGGTCACCACTCTTCTCTTCTTCTTTCTGTATCTATTTCACCTATAGAACCCTCTTTCTGTCTCTCTGGGAAACCTGGTACTCTAAGATTTCTGAAAAGTTCACGATTTCCAACTCCTTTTCGCCCCGTCTTCCATATCATCAGTCGTCCACGATGGCATCTCCACGTACGTACACCCCACCCCTCAGCTAGCTCCCTCGTTGGAGCCAGACCAGATTAGACCATCCCAATGGCAACAGGAGCCACGATGCTGACAGCTGGTCCGTCCTTGCAGAGAAGATTCGCACGCCCATCACCGACTTGTTCGGGATCAAGCACCCCGTGCTGCTCGCCGGCATGAACGTCGCCGCTGGCCCCAAGCTCGCTGCTGCCGTCTCCAACGCTGGTGGTCTTGGTGTCATCGGCGGCGTCGGCTACACCCCCGAGATGCTCAAGGAGCAGATCGACGAGCTCAAGAGCTACCTCGATGACAAGAACGCCCCCTTCGGTGTCGATCTGCTTCTCCCCCAGGTTGGTGGTAGCGCTCGCAAGACAAAGTACGTTTGCTCTGCAAAATGGCGGCATGCCAGGCCAATTCTCACTCCCAGCTGTTGCTTGGGGAGATGATTTCTGAAGAAAGCCCATGCTAACAGATTGTCTCCTTTAGCTACGATTACACCAAGGGCAAGCTGAACGAGCTCGTCGACATCATCATTGAGTCCGGCGCCAAGCTGTTCGTCTCCGCCGTCGGTGTCCCCACCAAGGAGGTCGTCGACAGGCTGCACAAGCACGGCATCGTCTACATGAACATGATCGGCCACGTCAAGCACGTCAAGAAGTGCCTCGACCTCGGCGTCGACATCATCTGCGCCCAGGGCGGCGAGGGCGGCGGCCACACCGGCGACATCCCCACCACCGTCCTCATCCCCGCCGTCGTCGAGGAGTGCCGCAAGCACAAGTCGCCCATCACCGGCGGGCCCGTCCAGGTCATCGCCGCCGGCGGCATCCACAACGGCCAGCTCCTGGCCGCCTCCCTCATGATGGGCGCGGGGGCCGTCTGGGTCGGCACCCGCTTCATCCTGACCGACGAGGCCGGCGCCCCCAAGGCTCACAAGGACGCCGTCCGCACGTCGGGCCACGACGACAACATCCGCACCATCATCTTCACCGGCCGCCCTATGCGCGTCCGCAACAACGACTACATCAACGACTGGGAGGTCAACCGCGCCCAGGAGATCAAGGACCTCGCCGCAAAGGGCGTCATCCCCTACGAGGCCGACCTGGACAAGTTCATGAGCGCCGACGACGAGAAGCCCTCGATCCCCACCAGCGGCAAGGAGGAGGATGACGACGACGAGGACCCCTTCGAGAAGTACCGCCCTTACCTCATGGGCAAGTGCGCCGCCGTCGTCAACGAGCAAAAGCCCGCCAAGGCCGTCGTCGACGAATTCGTCGACGACGCGGTTGAGTGGATTCAACGGGGCAACAAGATGATTGCCAAGCTGTAAAGTGAGTTTCAAAGATAGTAGCGAAATATGTCTTTCTTCTGGGTTTGGAGTAACTTGCCTCTGCATTTATTTTCCATTTTGTCAACGAGGGAATTGCTTTCCTAGTACTGTAGATTTGAGATACACTATATAGCATGGCAACGACTGATGCACGAGAAACACACGTTATATATAAGATTACACATTCCAATCTGGCATTATTTTTCTCCACGAACTGAAACATCTTCACGTGAGTTATAGGAAAATAATGGACGTCTATTTCATGCTAGTAAAATACCTAACCAAAAACATCAAAACCGATTGCAAAAACTCGTAAATTCCGCGTCGCCACCAGCATGCCAAAAGTGTACCACAGCCATCTCTTTTTTTACTTTACGCCGCGCCAAGGAAACGACATCTTGTCCACAATCAAGCAAATCACGAGACGGTGATAGCAGGGAACAACTAAGCATCCTCGTGCTGTCGTAGATAAAACCCCCTGCCTCCTCCCATCCTTCTGCGGCCCTCCTGTACACACATGTATATATGTAGTCGTGTTATTTAGCTTCCAAGGTAGGCGCGGATGGCGCCTTGAAGCCGAGTGGCACCCTCACCAAGCGATGCGGTGATGTTCTCCAGGTCATCACCGGCTGTAATACCGAACTGTCGGATGAAATCCTTGGCGGCAGTCTCGAGATCACCATAGTCATCTGCTGGCTCATCCTCTGGGCGGCCGAAGTAGGCGTTGGAGGAGATAGAGGTGGCACCCTCGAAGCCTTGTAGGCGGGTCTTGGCTTCAGTTTGGGCGTTGGCATCGTAGTTACCACGGCCAAAGTACTCGTCAGAAGAGATACCCTTCTGAGCACCAAATTTGGTTCGGGCAAAATTATCAGATTCATCTGCAATCATGTCATGTCAGCAATCGAAATCCATAAATATAGATTCTCCAGGAGCCCTTACCCTCAGCTGCGGCCTTGACTGGTCCTACGGAGCCGAATCCACCAGCATTCTTCTTTACTGGGGCAGCGGCAGCCTTGTTGCCGCCAATCTGGCCAAATCCGAGTCTTCCGAATCCCATTCCCAAACGTTCAACCTCCGCGTTCGACTTGTTGCGGGTATGAGGGCTTGTAGGTCCAGCAGGAGGAGGGCTAACAGGTGTTGGTGACAGAATGGTGGCGCCGGATTGTCCCTCCTTGAGAGTTGGATCCTCTACAGCGTCGGGATCGTATCCAAGCTTCGCGATTCGTTCGGCTTCCTCCTTGGCTCGCTTTTCGGCCTCGTCAAAGTCAATCAGATCGGCGGGGACCTTCTTAACGCCCAACTTGGCAGGCTTCTTTGCCCCAAGAACATTGGCCTTGCGAGGTGCTCCAGCGGTGCCAGTCTTTCGCAGTGCAGCAGATGTCGTGATGCGGCTGGCAGGTGGCTTATCCGTAGAGTCAGTCTTGGATAGCGGTGAGGCTGACCGAGTCACATCCTTGCCATTGCCGGCGCTGAGGAAAGGGGAAGGGGTTCGGCCAGTCGGTGTTCCAGTCCGTGAAATAGGGGGTGTAGGTCGCTTGATCGCGGGTTTGTCCCAAGATGAGAAGAAGTCGTCTTCAGGCTCGCCGGCGGGAGTAGAAGAGCCGTCCGCGTCGGCGCCGTCGACCACAACCTCAGTAGGATACCTAAGTCGAGAAGGTTAGGGGCTGGATGAATATGGAAAACATCCCTGTAAAGGATAAACACTAACTCTTGAGCATCTCGAGCAGCCCGTCTCTTGAGCTCCTCCTTGTACTTTGTTGCCGCGTTGGACTGATACTTGGTCTTGGGGTCTTTGCTATTCAAGGCAGCAGTGCCTCCGTTCTGCTGGAAAAACTTGGTAGCAGACTCGTTGCCACCGACTTTCATCACTCGGAGTTGTTCCCATTGCCACTCTATGAGAGTGAATTAGCAAACCCGCGGAGTACAAGGATCCGGCATTTTGGAACATACGATCGAGGTTGGTAGATCGCACAAAGGAGATATGGACACCCAAGTTGCGATGGTTGGAGGAACAGTCTAGGCACAGGTAGATACCGAAAGGTACCGATGTCCATGTAGGGTTCTTCTGACCACAGTCAAAGCAAATCTACACGTATCCCCAGAGTCAGCCCTGGCCATAAATACGCGATCCGACACTCGACGCGCCACCCACCTTATTTGCCTGCTTGGTTTTCAGTTTATCGAAGATCTTCAGCGACTGTTGTTTAGTCGCGAGGCCGCTCATTTTGGCGTTGTGCTCCCCGTGGAGACTCGCGCTCGGATGCTAGGATTGAGTATTGAGATGTCACAAAACGGAGACTCGGTTCTCTGCGAGACAAGGGCAAATTCGCGGC